GCTAAAACAACAAGATAAAAAAGAAAAAATATTATGTATTTTATGTTGAAAATTTTATGATTTTTTAAATTCTTTTTAGGGATTTTTATTGATAAATCCCATTTAAAAGTGTTTTAACCCAAGAAGTCCATGAAGGAATTTTTTAACCCATTTAGTCCCATGTATGTATAGTTTTATTCCATAAAGTCTTTTTTTTTTATTTACACTATTTTCTTGGACACTTATGCCCTTATATTTAATTTTGATACCCTTATAAATATTTTTTGAACGGTTAACAATTTTATGATGTGAACATTTATATTTTAAAATTCACATTGGTACGAATGTAAAATTGGCCCGTGGGCGGCCCGAAACCCGCCCGCGAGCCAGGGCGGGCTCGGCCCATTGGCAATGTGAATATTCACATTAACATGTTAACATTCACATTAATAGGAGTGTAAAATTGGCCCGCATCCCGTGGTGGCGCGAAAACCCACCCGCGGCCCATGGGCGGCTCGGGGCGGGCCCGGTCCGGCTCGTTGACAAAGTGAATATTCACATTGACATGTTAACATTCACATTGATAAGAGTATAAAATTGGCCCGCGGCCTATGGACGGCCAAAAGCCAGCCCGCCTGCGGCCCGGGGCGAGCCCGGCCCGACCTGTTGACAATGTTAATATTCACATTGATAGGAGTGTAAAATTAGCCCGTGCTTCGTGGCTGCTCAAAACCCGCCCACGACCCATGGGCGGGACTGGCCCGGCCTGTTGATAATGTGAATATTCACATTGACATGTTAACATTCACATTGATAAAAGTATAAAATTGGCTAGCGGCCCAGGGCGGGCCCGACCCGGCCCGTTGACAATGTGAATATTCACATTGACATGTTAACATTCGCATTGATAAGAGTGTAAAATTGGCCCGCAGCTCGTAGGCGGCTCGAAGCCTGATCGCAGTCCGAGGCGGGCTTGGCCCCGACCCGTGACAATATGAATATTCACATTGACATGTTAACGTTAACATTGATAGGAGTGTAAAATTTGCCCGCTGCCCGAAACTTGCCCGCGGCCCGGGGTAGGCCTGGCCCGGTCCGTTGACAATGTGAATATTCACATTGACATGTTAAAATGCACATTGATAGGAATGTAGAATTGGCCCGCGGCTCGTGGGCTGCCTGAAGCCCGCCCACGGCCTAGGGCAGGCTCGTTTCGGTCCGGGCCCGAGCATATCTGAGACCCCAGGTTAGGGCCTAGCTCATCACTTTGAAGCCCGGCTCGGCCCATCGGCCCGCTTAAGGTCCATTCAAGGCTCGGTCCGAAGCCCAGCCCGCCCGAGGCGCAATGTATTTTTTTGTGGAAAATAAGAAAATTTTGATAGAAAAAATTAAAAAGAATTACAAAAAAATGGCCAGGCCCGCCCAAACCTGACCTAAGCTCGAGGCTAGGCCCAGGTCCACCAGCCCGACCCGAGGCTCGATCCATCGGCCCATCCGAAGCCCGAATACCCTTGTGCCAAGGCTAGGGCCTGGGCCTAATTTTTTGGCCCGTGGGCTGGCCTGACCTGGCCCGGGAAAGGCTCGTTTGGGCCTAGGGTCGAGCCTAGTCCGAGACCCTAGGCTAGGGCCTGGGCCATCACTTTGAAGCCCAGTCCGGCCCATTGGCCTGGTTAAGGCCCATTCAAGGCTCGGTCCGAGGCCCGACCAGCGCCGAGGCCTAGTGTCTTTTTTTGTGGAAAATAATAAAATTTTGATAGAAAAAATTAAAAAGAATTAAAAAAAAATGCCTGCTGCCCGAAACTTGCCCGCGGCCCGGGGTAGGCCTGGCCCGGTCCGTTGACAATGTGAATATTCACATTGACATGTTAACATTCACATTGATAGGAGTGTAAAATTGGCCCGCAGCCCGTAGGCGGCTCGAAGCCTGATCGCAGTCCGAGGCGGGCTTGGCCCCGACCCGTGACAATATGAATATTCACATTGACATGTTAACATTAACATTGATAGGAGTGTAAAATTTGCCCTCTGCCCGAAACTTGCCCGCGGCCCGGGGTAGGCCTGGCCCGGTCCGTTGACAATGTGAATATTCACATTGACATGTTAACATTAACATTGATAGGAGTGTAAAATTTGCCCTCTGCCCGAAACTTGCCCGCGGCCCGGGGTAGGCCTGGCCCGGTCCGTTGACAATGTGAATATTCACATTGACATGTTAACATTCGCATTGATAAGAGTGTAAAATTGGCCCGCAGCTCGTAGGCGGCTCGAAGCCTGATCGCAGTCCGAGGCGGGCTTGGCCCCGACCCGTGACAATATGAATATTCACATTGACATGTTAACATTAACATTGATAGGAGTGTAAAATTTGCCCTCTGCCCGAAACTTGCCCGCGGCCCGGGGTAGGCCTGGCCCGGTCCGTTGACAATGTGAATATTCACATTGACATGTTAACATTCGCATTGATAAGAGTGTAAAATTGGCCCGCAGCTCGTAGGCAGCTGGAAGCCTGATCGCAGTCCGAGGCGGGCTTGGCCCCGACCCGTGACAATATGAATATTCACATTGACATGTTAACATTAACATTGATAGGAGTGTAAAATTTGCCCTCTGCCCGAAACTTGCCCGCGGCCCGGGGTAGGCCTGGCCCGGCCCGTTGACAATGTGAATATTCACATTGACATGTTAACATTCGCATTGATAAGAGTGTAAAATTGGCCCGCAGCTCGTAGGCAGCTGGAAGCCTGATCGCAGTCCGAGGCGGGCTTGGCCCCGACCCGTGACAATATGAATATTCACATTGACATGTTAACATTAACATTGATAGGAGTGTAAAATTTGCCCTCTGCCCGAAACTTGCCCGCGGCCCGGGGTAGGCCTGGCCCGGTCCGTTGACAATGTGAATATTCACATTAACATGTTAAAATGCACATTGATAGGAATGTAGAATTGGCCCGCGGCTCGTGGGCTGCCTGAAGCCTGCCCACGGCCTAGGGCAGGCTCGTTTCGGTCCGGGCCCGAGCATATCTGAGACCCCAGGTTAGGGCCTAGATCATCACTTTGAAGCCCGGCTCGGCCCATCGGCCCGCTTAAGGTCCATTCAAGGCTCAGTCCAAAGCCCAGCCCGCCCGAGGCGCAATGTATTTTTTTGTGGAAAATAATAAAATTTTGGTAGAAAAAATTAAAAAGAATTACAAAAAAATGACCAGGCCCGCCTAAACCCGACCTAAGCTCGAGGCTAGGCCCAGGTCCATCGGCCCGACCTGAGGCTCGATCCATCGGCCCATCCAAAGCCCGAATACCCTTGTGCCAACCTAATTTTTTGGCCCGTGGGCTGGCCTGACCTGGCCCGGGAAAGGCTTGTTTGGGCCTAGGGTCGAGCCTAGTCCGAGACCCTAGGCTAGGGCCTGGGCCATCACTTTGAAGCCCAGCCCGGCCCATTGGCCCGGTTAAGGCCCATTCAAGGCTCAGTCCGAGGCCCGACCAGCGCCGAGGCCTAGTGTCTTTTTTTGTGGAAAATAATAAAATTTTGATAGAAAAAATTAAAAAGAATTAAAAAAAAATGGCCAGGCTCGCCCCGGGCCATCCATGGGCTGTGGAGGGGTTTCGGGTAGTCACAAGGCACGGGCTAATTTTACAGTCCTATTAATGTGAATGTTAACATGTCAATGTGAATATTCACATTGTCAACGGGCCGGGTCGGGCCCTCCCTGGGCCACTGGCTAATTTTATACTCTTATCAATGTGAATGTTAACATGTCAATGTGAATGTTAACATGTCAATGTGAATATTCACATTGTCAACAGGCCAGGTCGGACCTGCCCCGGGCCGTCCACGGTCTGTGGGCGGGTTTCGGGTAGCCACGGGCGCGGGCTAATTTTACATTCTTATCAATGTGAATGTTAACATGTCAATGTGAATATTTATATTGTCAACGGGCCGGGCCCGCCCGGGGTCGTGAGCCGGCTTTTGGCCGCCCATGGGCCGCGGGCCAATTTTATACTCTTATCAATGTGAATGTTAACATGTCAATGTGAATATTCACATTGTCAACCGGCCGGACCAAGCCCGCCCCGGGCTGTCCATGGGCTGCGGGCGGGTTTCGCGCCGCCACGGGACGCGGGTCAATTCTACACTCCTATTAATGTAAATGTTAACATGTCAATGTGAATATTCACATTGTCAATGGGCCGGGCCTGCCTCGGCCCGACTCGAATTTTTCCGAGCACCCACGAGGATCGACATGGGGCCGGGCTCCTACACATTGATGATATGAACATTCACATTGACGGTGTGAACATTCACATTAGAGGTATTTTGGTAATTATGTCACCCATAGGACTTATTGAAACATAAGAAAATAATGTGAACTAAATGGAACATAAGTAGATGAAAAGGGTATTTTGGTCTTCTTATCTCAAATAGGATCTAATGGAATAGTAAAAAAGAATATGGGTTGAATGGAATAAAACTCTTAGAAAGTGGATTTATCAAAAAAGCTCCCTTTTTTTATTTTTATTTTGTCTCTTTACCTTATTATATTATTTTTATCAACGATTATATTATTTTTATCAATGATAATCAGCTTGTTTGGTTTTAGTTTCCAGAAAACACTTTTTAGAAAATTCTACTTTTTTATTTTTTGTAATTTTTTATTTTCAATGAATTTTTTAAAATATTTTAAACAATTTTTTTAATTTTTAAACACACCTAACATAAATACACTTAAAAAATATAATATTCGTGAATTTTTAAATACCAAAAATATAACAAAAAATATGAAGGTTCAGTATATTTTTCATATTTTTATGTATTTATTAATTTTTAAAAATATTTTATTATTTAAATACATCTCCGTAAGATACATTTAAAAAAATAAAAAAAATTATTTAAAATTTTAAAAATATTTACTAAAAATAAAATATGTAAAAAAAAAAATTTAATTTTTAAAAAAAACTAAAACCCAACCCAAGCTGACCACGCGCGTAGTTACAACTACTAATCTAACAACAGAGGAGAGGAGAAAGAACGTTCGTTCCCCTAGTCCTCTCCCATTACTCTTTCCGCCTTGTTTATTTGACCGAGTCAGCCCCCTACTGACTCACCCCCGAGTCGCCTCGACGACTCACCCAATTTCCTTTTCCTTAATTCACTTTATTCACTAAAAATTCAGCGAATGAACAATCTGTATGTAGTAGTAACCCTCCGCTAAAATCTCCACTGAATTCGTCAAATTCTCACACTTTTTCATTCGATGTATTTAGGGTTTTGAGTGGTGAAGGGTTAGGGGTTTTTGAGCTTCTTCAGCTCTTCTTGCCAAGATGATGATATCAAGGGGTTTGTTCGGGTGGTCGCCGCCGCACATACAGCCGCTTACTCCGGTGTCGGAGGTGTCGGAGCCGCCGGAGTCGCCGTCGCCGTACCTCGACACGAGCCCCGAGGGCGTCGCCGTCGATGTCGAGGAGGAGATGGAGGAGGAGGAGGAGGAGATCGAGCCACCGCCCGCCGCCGTCCCCTTCTCGCGGCTCTTTGCCTGCGCTGATCGCCTCGATTGGGTCTTGATGGTGGTGGGATCGCTAGCCGCCGCCGCTCACGGCACCGCGCTGGTGGTGTACTTGCATTACTTCGCGAAGATTGTTCAGTTGCTGAGGTTCGATCGTTTGGAGAATAGGGATGCTCTGTTTGGCGAGTTCAGAGAGGTAGTGTTTTGGAACCTTTTATAGTGTCTTTGAAGTTTCTTTGTCTAGTATTAACATTTATGTAGTATATGTATAATCAACCAGTAGTGAAATTTGTGATCTGTGGATTTGTTTACTGCTCTATTAACTTCATGTTTAGGAAGATTGCTTTTTGGTTCAAATTTAGCACCATTTTAGGTATTTATTAGTCGATTATAGGTGCTTGTGTCACTAAGATGTCCATGATTAAATGAGGAACATGTTTATTTGTTTCTTGTATATTCTATGTAGAAATTTGCAAACTTTTGTGTCATTTCTAAAGTTTGATTAGATGGGGAAAGACGGTGGCAAGTTGTCAATTGCAGAAACTTTTCTAAAAGCCTACAATTGAGATTGAGCTTCCAAGAGGATCAAATCCTTGGAAAGTAATAAATAAATCTCAGAATGTTATTATTGTGATTCCTAATTAGTATAGGCATTTAAGGTTTTTATGGGATGTGAGGGCTTGTGGTTCCTCGAGTGGCCAGCAGGTGGGCCATCTTTTGTGCACTATATTGTTCCTTGACTTTAACCCGTTTCCAGTTGCATTCTATTGGTCAGAGGATTGACTCTGATTGGATGATATTGAGGTGAATTATGTAGCTCAAACATGAACATGCGACGCGACACGGACATGTCAACATAACGATTTCAAAAAAATGCAACATACGATACGTTTGGGACATGCAAAAAATTTATATTTTTATGTCAAATATATGAATAAGTTATTTGAAAGTAATAAAAAAAAGCAACATAACAATAATCAAAATTAAAAAAACATATATTCTATAATGTAATTTATAAACATTAAGATATCATTAATGTAATAGTTGCATCTTAGGACATGGGAACTCATCTAAATAGTCAACATGACGAGTCTTTATCATATTTAATTCTTGTTAGAGTGATGTTTTTGTACAAGGGATATGATATTACTTTTAAAACATTCATGTAGTGATTAAAAAAATTTAAAAGGTAGGTACCGTGTGAAACTTTGAGCAACTATGCATTCCCATGTGAAACTTTGAGCAACTATGCATTCCCTTGTTCCCATGCTAAACACTACCTTTAAGGTGGTATCTAACAGTTAGTGTGCTGAATGTTCATCCCAAACTTTACCTGGGTCATCTTGTATTGACACCGGTACTCTGTTAATTGTGCCCTTGTAAGATTATGCCCCTACCACTTTTGAGGTGTCAAATGCATATTTGATGGATGTGAAGGTCATTGGAGTTGGAAATGAGACTTGGAAGCAGCCACAAACAAACCACAGGGTCCTCATTGAAAACTGTAGGATCATCATCACATTCCCTAAGAAATTTGATGATAGGCTACTTCTCAAGAAACATAATAATTGCCTCAAGCACCCGGTATTGGATACACCAAATAGAAGTAGGATAACCAAGCGTTCTCTATTCTTTCCAAGCAACATAATCTTCCACCAACAGCTAATGGTCCTAGGTGAAATAACTCGACATTGATGAAGCTGAATCATGGTGATTGAATGCTAGAATTATTATGGAGAAACTTGTTAGTCTCTACTTGGTAGGCAAATAGTAATTAATTACTCCCTCCGTCCCAAAATAATGGTCCCTTTTGGGGAATCCAACTTTTTTTGGTAGTACAATTATTGTACTTTTAAAAAGTTGGTTTTCCAAAATTACCCTTTGATAGTACACTTTTTTGAGAATATCAATGTCATAATTGTACTTTTTATATTATTTATGAATTTAAAAGAAGGGCAAAATGGAAATTTATATTATTTTTGTACTTGATTTTTGAAGAGGGACTAATATTTTGGGACAATGAAAAATGGAATAAGGGACTAATATTATGGGACGGAGGGAGTAGAAAAAAAGGGCAGAGAAACTACAAATGATTTATACCTAAATTTGATACTGGTGTGCACGGGTTGGTGTAGAGCGGATTTCACAAATTTTCCAAGTGAACCGCCAATGGTGGGTTGAGATTTTTCTCACTTGCCGCCAAACTGTGAAACACCTAAACCAGCAGGTCAGTTGATTTTTCAAGACAGTTTCATATTAGCGGACTGGTGGGTTAATAAATGCATTCACAAATTGGGCCATTTCTATTTTGGCTACAATACGTTGCACTAAATTAAGTCCATTTTACACAAATTTGACCTTGAAGTTGCAACACCAAATTACAATCAATTAAAAACAAAAAAAAAATAGTACTGCGGCAGTGTGTAAACCAAAAATTGCATAAACAATAAACTTGTAATGCATAAACCCTAGAAAATATGTACAAGAGCACTACAAGTCTTAAAAAGTAGTTTAAAGCCTCAATCAAATAACTTAATGGCATTACCTTTACAAGAAGCACAACAAATAAAATAGAAAAAGTTAAAAAAAATTACAATTTACAGTTTGTTTGGGGAGTGGATTTTTGGCTAAAACATAAGGCGCAAAAAACTTAAGTGTTTGGAAATGACTTTTTTGGCTTTTTACGGAAAGACATGCAAAAAGTAAAGAGAATTGGAAATAATTTTTGACTTTTTTGTATGGCTTTTATTGGCTTTTTGGCCGTTTTAGTGGCTTTTTGGCTAATTTAGCCACGTTTCAAATGTAGCCTTAATGGTATTAGCTTTACAATCTTAGCAAGATAAAATTAAAAAAAAAAAGATGAAAAAGGGTTGGTATATGCCTTCACAAATTAATGGCACTACACCATCTCACACAATGCATTTAGATAACATATTCATAGATCTAAGAGAGATGGAGGAAATGGATGAAGTCTGAAAGAGAGCAGCAAATGGAAGAGGCATTTGGACATGGAGGAGAGAAAAAATGGGAGATTGGAGAGATATCATAACTGAGAGATTATTACTTGAGAAGTGAGATCTCTGTCTTGTGCTCTATGTTTGATCGTTGCCTCCTTAGAGCCTTGGACCTTAGACCCTTGGAGGAGATGATTCTATATGGGAGGCGTCGGCCGGTGATGTGAGAGAGAGGGGATTACTTTTGAGGATTGATTGGGTGTGGCGGGGGTGGACTAAAGTCTTATACAATATTTATTATGCATGGCAGTTAGGTTCAGATTAGTGTTGGGTTAGACTTTTTTGAAAGGTAAATAAACCCGACCCACCCCTGAAAAAATTTGAATCCTCCCAACCTGCACCACCAACACTTTCAACCAGGGCAGTTCAGAGCGGATTGGGCGGGTTATGTGGTATTTTGCAATACCAACCAATAAGTGGTAGCTTGAGCAGTGGCATTGCCAAGTTGAGATTCTAGAGGTCTGTTGCCCTTGTATCTGACTAGAATTATGGATTAAAGGCTTTCGGTCTCATTTGGGAAGTGTGTATTTTAGCCTAAAAGCCAAAAAGTCACTAAAAAAACTAAAAGCCACCAAACTATACAAAAAAGTCAAAGATTCAATTAGTTCTCTACTTTTTGCACTTTTTTCGTAAAAAATCAAAAAGTCATTTCAAATATATTAGTTTTTTTCCCCTCATATTTTAGCCAAAAAGCCAAAATATTATTAAAATAGCCTGTTCTTAAACGAGGCCAGCTGGCAGTATTTTGTCATGTTACTCATGACTTCTAGGTTTATTTTATGATTCAAAAAATAAAAAAAGAAACTTGTACTTCAATTGAACACTATAATAAATACTCACCATTCTAGGGACTTGCTGAATTAGGCACAATCATGAGTTCTAGGTTGCATAATTACTTGAGTTTTGATTTTGGACCCATTCTGTGTTTGGCATTTTTTTTACAATATATGCAATTCTCTTTTTTGGTGGTGTGTGGGGGAGAAGGGAAGGCTTATTAGTATATATTTTTACGTAAAATTAGGTAAAAGTTTGAATTTGTTTTCTCATCTTTTGGTAAACCACCTACTTCTGCCTCCACTAGCTTGGTCCATCAGAATCAAATATTTGGAATTAGCGTTCGAACCTCCATTTTTCTTTTGTGGTGAAGTGAAGATGATTTGGTATCCTCGATTTAGAAGGTAATGATACTTTTCAATCAACATTGACCCTTTCCCTTCCACCAACATTATTTAGGTTAGGAAAGTGTGATAATTTTGAATTTAATTATTTGGAAAAGATGTAATCTATGGTGGAGACTACTCTAGTTCAGTTATTAGGTTTTTACTTGAATCAATTTTTGATCTAAGAAAAGGTGGATGCAAGTGAAATAAATTATCAATTTAACAAAAGGGGTTGTCAATTAACTTTATATGTTATTTCTGCAGCTTACTTTAACCATCGTCTATATTGCTGCGGGTGTTTTTGCATCTGGTTGGATAGGTAAGCCAAATGTTTCATTTATCTGTTATTTTTCGATTTCTGTTGTTGTCTCATAGATTTTGTTGCAACCATCAATACTAACATATTTTGTGTAATAGAGGTCTCATGCTGGATTCTTACTGGAGAACGGCAAACTGCAGTTATCAGATCAAAATATGTTAAAGTATTACTAAATCAGGAAATGAGTTTTTTTGATACATATGGGAACAATGGAGATATTGTAAGCCAAGTTTTGAGTGATGTGCTGCTTATCCAGTCTGCTCTTAGTGAAAAAGTATGTAACAAACAGAAGTTAGTGGCTTCTAAATTGTTTGCTCCTTGAAAATGTATTGTTTAATCTTTACTCACTCTTGACGTGACAGGTTGGAAATTATATTCATAACATGGCTACCTTCATTAGCGGTCTTGTGATTGGATTTGTCAACTGCTGGCAGATTGCTTTAATAACTTTAGCTACTGGTCCATTTATTGTTGCTGCAGGAGGAATATCAAATATATTTCTCCATAGGCTTGCTGAGAATATTCAAGATGCCTATGCAGAAGCAGCTAGCATTGCTGAGCAGGTTTTTATTTTCAATTGTTTTCCTTTTGTACAATTTTCCTTTCATCCGCCTCCTATTTAATGTTCTCAGTGTTAATTTTGGCCTACATTTTTGGTAATTTGGGTAAGAAGTTCTCACAGTATCAGGAACGCAATATTGCTTCTGGTAGAATTGTTCAATGAACTTGAAATTGATTCATTGTTGGTAAAAAGTTGAGCAAGGCTCCCTGCTGTTTTGAATTTTATTTATCAAAACTTGTATATCTATATGAATATCGTGGAGCTATGTTGCATAAACTTGAGTACGGGTGTTGGGTGAGGGAGCATATCTAGGGTTGGATCCATCAAACGTTTAATTGAAAGATTTTCAAACTTGGAAAAAAGGATTATATTTGTATTTTTTAATCTGTTTTGTGAGATAAAATGGTGTTCTATGTAATAGACACTAACAAAAAAAGAATTTAACTAAATTACACAACAAAAAAACATATAATGATAGTGCTAAATAAAACTAATGAAGATTAGAAACAAGGAAAATGGCAAATTGAAATTTTATATGAAGCATGTTTAGGGCATCAAGGATTGAAGTTTTGGAATGTTTTTAAGTCTTTTTTTTGTATTTATTATAATTTATTACGTTGCTAGATAGATTTATATTATTATACTAGGTTTTAGTACTTAGGGGTATTATGGTAAATTCATGGTCAAGTAATGTTATTTGAATTTTATTTAGAGTCCTAGTTGGTCTAGAAAATTATTAGTTACCAAATCTTCTGAGTTTCTAAGTTTGAGTCATAGTCCTTATAGAAGTAAGAAGGCCTTTAGCCTATAAATATGTGTAATCTCAATGATTCAATAAATAGTTGATATTATGAGAATTTGATATTGTGTTTATGTGTGATTGGCCTAACCCTTGCGAGGGTGGCACACCTCCTTCTTGATTAGAAACATTGTAATCAAGAAAGCAATTTTGTCAAAAAATTGGTAGGGAATAAGGTAGGATCTTGAAGTCTTGTGTGCAGATTATGAGGCTATTAAGAAAGATGTTGTGATGTTGAATGTTGCGACAATAAAGAGCGAAGTGTATACTAGCCCTGTTTGGTAGAGCTGTGGGAAAGTGCTTATAGCTTATGCCTAAACAGCTTATAGCTTATAACTATGAACATAAGCTGATTTCTGACTTATTCTTAAAGCATCTCCTGCCCCACTCAAAGAATAAGCTGATTTCTGACTTCCAAAAAGCTATAAGCTATAAGCTATAAACCAAACACATCAAAATAGCTTAAATTAAGCTGAAAGCTGAAATAAGCTGATTATAATTTCTGCCAAACAGGCACACTATCAATATATCTTTGAAAGAATTGAAAGCTTCCATGGAAAGATTGTTAGCTGTTGTTTTATAGGAAACTAATATTGAGGAGAAAGGATGATAGCGTTGAAGTTCTTGAAGAAACTACGAAAGAGCTAGATAAACATGTTGCTGATATTGAGAATATTGAAGCAATGAAGGCAATAATTAATTAGCTTACTAAAGGCAAAGGAAGCCAAAAAAAAGAAAAAAGAAAGAGATGACAATGCAACAGAACGTTTTGCTCTTCAAAAGAAAAGGGAAGTTCATATTGACTTTATTATTCCTAATAAATTCGATGTAGTCGATGGAGTGATGATAGCGTTGAACTTTTTGGTTTTTTCATTGTTGGTTCAAAAAGATCAATTTGAATGGAAGCAAGTCTGAGAGTCCATAATTCTTATAGTTCAACACTATAAAACTTGAAGTCAAGTTTTTTTTCAATGCAAGGGAGAATGACAAAGATCATGGAAAGAAGAAAAAGGCAAATCTAGAATTTCATATGAAGCATGTTTATGGTATCAAGGATTGAAGTTTTGGAATAGTTTTGAGTCTTTGTTTATATTGATTATAATTTCTTATGTTGCTAGACATATTTAGATTGTTCTAGTATGTTTTAGTACTTGGGGGTATTATGATGCATTAAATAATTATTGGACATGATTACTAGTCATAGTCATAGTCATAGTCATAGTCATAGTCTATGGGTTGTCTTGCAACTCAAGTAATTCTATTTGAATTTTATTTGGAGTCTTAGTTTGCTTAGAATATTAGTAGTTACCAAATGTTCGTAGTTTCTAAATTTGAGTCATAGTCCTTATTGAAGTAAGAACGCCTTTAGCCTATAAATACATGTGTAATCTCAATGATTCACGGAAGAGTTGGCAGTATGAGAATTTGGAATTGTGTTTGTGTGTGATTGGCACCCTTGCGAGGGTGAATCACCTCTTTCTCTCCCTTCTTCTACTTCTCTTTCTTCTTCTTTGCGCACATACCCAAGTTATTATTCTCGGGTACTATTCACATCTCTAAAAAAAGTTACCGTTTTAGCCCCCAAACCATATCCTATCCACCCCAAATCAACCCTAATCCCTTAACTTGCCTATTAACCTTCAATTTAACCATTAATTAAAACCCTAAATTACTTGTTTGGGCCTTTAATTAGCTTCTGTTTAAAAGTTCTGCAAGCTGTCCTACATCGAAAACCAAGTATGCCTAATTTAATCTGTATTGGATGGGTGTCTGGGAGGGGTAGATTAGGTACAAACCTAATCTTTGGCATTATTTGGACGAAGTGGTTGCCCTCAGGTTCGAACCCAAAACCTCTAGGTTGATAGGCCAAGTTTTAAATACAATTATGTGATAAAATTGAATTGATGGATATGCTTGCTAAGTGCATATCTGATGGGAAGTATCAACCACATATACTTATCAAAGGAAAAAGAAGTATTGGATAATGTTGCATATGTCAAGTGTTTACACTGGGTGTTTGATTTCTTTTGAAGAGTCCATGCAATAGTCTCAGAGTGTAGTCATTTATATTTATTTTATTGCTAGAAAGCTGTTTCAGGTAGTTGTTCATAAGATTGGAAAAAATACTGATGTCAAAATAGTTAGAAGATCAACTCTACATTTAAGAATTCAGAAAATCCATTAATGGCATTTATGTACTGAGGATATGGTACTACCATTATGTCCAATTGAGCACCAATTGTTACTAAAAATAATGTTTGCTTATATCTATTGTTGTTCTATGTAATTGCAACTCCAGTCTAAAAACTAGTGAAAAAAAATCAAGTTTTTTATTAGCTTTCCACGTTTAGATTCAAACTAGCATCTACCAGGCCAAGCCTTTAGATCTTTAAGAGTTGTGGTTTCCAAAATTTGTATTGCTTGGTAATAAGAGGATATCCTATTTTATTACAATTGTAGTGGACTAGTCTTAATAGATATTTTGATTAAATTTTGGTTACTTAAGAGATTGGAGAGAACATATCCATGTAGCTGACTCCAAGTAATCGGGACTAAGCCCTGTTGAGTTGATTTTATTTCTGTGGTTCTCAATTCTACAGTGCTGATGGAGTGACAGTTTTTATTTGGTAACATCCCAATGAACTACTGATGGCACTAGTAAATTGAAGTACTTGGACTTCTGGTTCCTGATAAGTTAGAATACCTCTAAATTAGGTCACCTACTAATTGCAAAACACATGTGAAAATAGCACGATTTACAGCCAAGTCTTTAGATTGAAAAGTTTTGGGATAGGATTATCCTATTCTACAGTGTACCATCAATGGGCATTTGATTATACTAACTATTTGCTAATGTAATGGTGCTGTGGGGATTACATGCTTGTTGCCTTTATTTGGTGGTACAACAGAGAATTGCTGGCACATGGCACTAGCACGTTGGAAGACTTGTACTTCTGGGTTCTAATTAGTAATTGGAGATATTTATATTTGAAAATCCGTAAGTCAATTCACTCATTGCATGGAATTCATGTCAAAATTTAATCGGCTTTTCCAAATTAACTAACTTTTTGGCTTATCCTTTTCTATTAACATTAATTGTAATCCTAATCATAATGGTGAAAATGTATATACAGAGAGCTTTCCCTATCGATGTCGACAAATTTTTTAATTAAAATCTAAGATCCATGGCAAATCATGCTCTCTATTTTTTTTGACAATGATTAGAATTTAGAAAGATTGAACTCTGGCAAGCTGAGGTTGCAACACACATTGCAATTAGTTTATAGGAGTTCTTTGTTGGAAAGAAAATATGTGCAATTTTGGTAACTTGTTCCTATTATGTATTGACTGATACTCCTGGTAGCAGTGCCATGTCACCATGACCTTGGCCTTTATTGCAACAGATACTGTGTTTTAAATCCCTGCCTTCTAGGTTTTACCTAATTTGTCTAACTCCCTTCCAATGATGTGCTCAAAGTCTAAAGTTTCTCCTGTACACTTGTGAAATGGACTTTGAGACTGGGAAGGGACTATTAATTATACCCTGGACTTTTGATAAGACCAAGGATACTCCTCATGTATGGGTCTCAATGTTCATGTTCTTTTCTGTTATCTTATATGCGCACATGCATTCACTTATGGAATTTGGTTTATGGGCATTTGGCTAGATGTCATCTGTTTAACTTGTGGTATATATGTTTGTGTGTATGCTTGCAAGCAGATTACACATTGAGTCTTAACAAATATGGAAGTAATAGCCATACAACAGATTTCTTGTTAAACTTAAGTGAAAAATCCTTTGTGGAACACTTATATTGGTACGTAATGTAGGTCTTCTTTCATAAGTGTCCATGCGAGTGCTGGATGTGGTAAATATGGTTTCATATCAATGGGTGCTCAACTTGCTTGTATATCATTGGGGAGTTTCTTGATTTTCAGTGATCCTTTGTTGCCATTTTTCTTTTAAAATTTTGCAGGCAATTTCCTATAGTAGAACCTTATATGCATTTACAAACGAAACGTTGGCCAAGTATTCATATGCAACTTCACTACAAGCCACACTGAGATATGGTATATTGATAAGTCTTGTGCAAGGACTTGGACTTGGATTTACATATGGGCTTGCAATTTGTTCTTGTGCCTTACAGCTTTGGGTTGGAAGGTTTCTGGTAACTCGTGGAAAAGCCCATGGCGGTGAAATTGTAACAGCCCTGTTTGCTGTAATTTTAAGCGGCCTGTAAGCATCCTGAACTTGCTTTGTTGTCCTACTTCTGATTTTTACTGGGTTTCTTATATAAAAGGATCAAAATTTCATATTGGTGTGCCGCTTCGGGGAGCTTGGAAATGAAACATTAATTTTTTTTTTATAGAAATGTACAAAAATGTTTCAAAACAAATTTAAAACTTTTCTAAATGTATGTATGAGCTAATAAGGTATGCTTATCCATTCACTTGAAAGGCACAATTGTACAATTTTGTAGTAAATGTCAACATGAACTAATAATCATTTGAAGTCTACCAAATCAATGCTATTGAACACAAGTGTTTATGATTTTCAATGAGCATAAGGTTCCTATCATACAAGGTTTAAAAATATAGCTGAAATGATAACAACAACAACAACTAATAATAATAATAATAATAATAATCAAACGTTGCAGCGTGCCAAGGTGTAAGGAGGCTGTTTGGTAACAAGATTAAAATAAATGTTAGAATATAATAAGCAAATGATTTAAAGAAGGAAAGCTAGATTCTAGGAGCCATAGTGAAAAAAAGAAAGTAGTTCTTGCGATGAGTGTGAAAGGCAATAAGTGGCGTAATAATGTCTTTCTTCTCTTTATCTCTTCCCTTCCTTGTTCTACTTTCTTATATTTGCAGTCAATTTTAAGTTTTTATTTTTTTATTAACAAAAGGAGGAGATTCAAAACAACTTTTGTTAGGTATTCATTTCTTTTCATATTGTTTTGGTGAGTTTCAGTATGTTTCAATGAAAATGCTGGAATTTTGGTTTTCAAGTAATGTTTTGTGTCCATTTCCTTGGAGAAGGAAATGCTTTGGCTGTTTTGATGGAAACAGAAACTTTTATTATTTGCTTATATATGTTTTTTCTTGTTTCTGGAGCTCTTATGTATGATTTCTTGTGTCCTTCGCAGAGGGCTGAATCAAGCAGCAACAAACTTCTACTCTTTCGAGCAAGGGAGAATTGCTGCTTATAGACTCTTTGAAATGATAAGCCGTTCATCCTCTGCTGTTAATCATGATGGAATTACTCTAGATTCTGTACATGGAAACATTGAGTTTCGAAATGTATATTTCAGCTATTTATCCCGTCCTGAAATTCCCATCTTGAGTGGGTTCTTCCTCACTGTACCTGCTAAAAAAGCAGTGGCACTTGTTGGAAGAAATGGCTCTGGAAAAAGCAGTATTATACCCCTTATGGAACGGTTTTATGATCCTACATTAGGTATTGTGAACATATCTTTTTGTCATTACATGGTGCTCTTGTTATTTCAATTAAGGTTTCGCTGAAACATTATTGATCCTCTCTTATCTCATATTCCTATGGCTTTTCCATTCTGTACTGCAGGAGAAGTCCTTTTGGATGGAGAAAATATAAAGAACCTCAAATTGGAGTGGCTAAGGAGCCAAATTGGTTTAGTCACACAGGAACCTGCATTGCTAAGTTTGAGTATCAGAGACAACATTGCCTATGGGCGGTCTGATGCTACATTCGATCAGATTGAGGAAGCTGCTAAGATAGCACATGCACATACATTTATCAGCTCACTTGCGAAAGGATATGAGACACAGGTAAAATTTTAGAGACAGCATATCAATCGAAACTGTATTGCTTACTGGGTTTGATTCTTTATTAGTGACATATTTCCCTTTACAAAAGTCAGGTGGGTAGGGCTGGCTTATTATTGACTGAAGAACAGAAAATAAAACTCTCTGTTGCTAGGGCAGTACTTTCAAATCCATCTATTCTTCTTCTTGATGAGGTTACTGGTGGACTTGATTTTGAAGCTGAAAGATCTGTTCAGGAGGTTCTAGATCTCCTCATGTTAGGACGATCAACTATTATTATAGCCCGGCGGCTTAGCCTTATAAAGAATGCTGATTATATAGCAGTGATGGAAGAGGGTCAACTTGTTGAAATAGGCACACATGATGAGTTAATAAAGCTGGATGGCCTCTATTCGGAGCTTCTCAGATGTGAAGAAGCAGCAAAACTTCCACGGAGGTATTGTGCTTGAGAATTCTTAGGCTTTGGTTGAACATGGTGTTATGAAGTACTTGTGTTATCAAGGCCTGCATCTAAACACAGAGTCATTAGAATAAACATCCTTTTTAAACTATATGTTCTTTAGTAATAGTTGAATATTATCTTGTTTGCCTGTTCTTTATCTCTATCCAGGATGCCCATGATGAACTACAAGGAAACTGCAGCTTTCCAAATTGAAAAAGATTCATCAGCAAGTCACAGCTTCCAAGAACCATCATCTCCAAAAATGGTTAAATCACCATCTCTTCAGAGAGTTTCTGGTCTCCAATCCAATATATTTCATATTTTTAAATCACTATAAACTGAATTTTTTACATTTTATTTTAATAATTAATGACTTTATATTTTACAAAAAATCAACCACTAACTATTATATATAAGATAAATAATAACAAAAGTAAAAGAATAAATAAGAGCCTAAATATATATATATATACATATTTTAACCAAACCAAATAGATAATAACCACACTTATTATTATTATTATTATTATTATTATTATTATTATTATTATTATTATTATTATTTTCAAACAATATATAGATAGACACACACAAACAAAATGGTTTAGTGATAGCAGCTGAATAGAATAGCATACATCTTATAGTTTCAACAAATCAATAATATGTTCTTCATCTTCCCTCTTCTCTCTCTCTATCTCTTGCTCCTCTATTTTCTCTCTTTGTCTTCCCTCTTCTCTCTATCTCGCTTCTCCCATTTTCAGCTTTTTTTTGTGTTTTTTCGAAAGAAACAGTTTGGAACCGTTACGACCGCTACAGCAGCCGCTACGGCCGACGCACCTGTGAATCTCAATCACACTGCAAAAGCGGCCGTAACGGGTGGCGGTAACCGCCAAAACCGTTATGTAACGGCGTTACGTAACGGTCGTGGCCGCTTTTTAAAACCTTGCCTGCATCTAAACACAGAGTCATTAGAATAAACATCCTTTTTAAACTATATGTTCTTTAGTAATAGTTGAATATTATCTTGTTTGCCTGTTCTTTATCTCTATCCAGGATGCCCATGATGAACTACAAGGAAACTGCAGCTTTCCAAATTGAAAAAGATTCATCAGCAAGTCACAGCTTCCAAGAACCATCATCTCCAAAAATGGTTAAATCACCATCTCTTCAGAGAGTTTCTGGTCTCCATGCATTTTGGCCTCCAGATGTTGCACTCAATTCACAAGAATCCCCAGGAGTTCGTAGCCCCTCACCAAAACAAAGGGGGGAAAATGGTTTGCCCTTGAATGTTTCTGATAAGGAACCTTCCATAAGAAGGCAGGATAGTTTTGAAATGAGGCTCCCTGAGTTACCCAAGATTGATGTTTTGTCTGGGAATAAACACACATCCAATGCTTCTGATCCTGAATCTCCTGTCTCACCGCTCTTGACATCTGATCCCAAAAATGAACGTTCTCATTCGCAAACTTTTAGCCGACCACTTAGCCCATCTGATGACACATCAGTGAAAATGAAGGAACCAGTGGATACACGACATCGGAATGCACCATCAGTTTGGAGGCTTGTAGAGCTTAGCCTAGCAGAATGGCTTTACGCTGTTTTAGGAAGCATTGGTGCTGCCATCTTTGGTTCTTTTAACCCACTCCTTGCCTATGTTATCGCGCTGATAGTTGCAGAATACTACAAAGAAGGTCATCGCATACGTCGTGAAGTAGATAAGTGGTGTTTAATCATTACTTGCATGGGTATTGTGACAGTTGTTGCCAATTTCCTACAGCACTTCTACTTCGGTATAATGGGGGAGAAAATGACCGAACGAGTGAGGAGAATGATGTTCTCAGGTACATGGTTCCTTCCCAAATAGAATTTTATGTTTTTAACATTCTGAATGCATGAGCTATCTTATTGTGATCTTAATGCGTGCTGGATATGTACTTCTTCCTCGTTGTGAGTGCATAAGTTGCCTTTTAGTGTGATTTTATATAATAACTTTAATGTTACAGCTATGCTGCGTAATGAAGTTGGATGGTTTGATGAAGAGGACAACAGTGCTGACAACTTATCCATGCGTTTAGCAAATGATGCTACATTTGTGAGAGCTGCTTTTAGCAACCGGCTTTCTATATTTATACAAGACGGTGCAGCTGTTGTAGTGGCTGTTCTTATTGGGATGTTTTTACATTGGCGACTGGCACTGGTGGCTTTGGCAACCTTACCTATTCTTACTGTTTCTGCCATTGCACAGGTTCGCATTGTGTTTACTTGCTTCTCTATGAAAATTCCGTGTTCATCAATGGACTGAATAAGCATCTGCAGATTATTATTCATCTCATCAGGTTTAAAGAGCCATTCTCCATCAATCTGATGGGGACCAGAAGTCTATGCATCCTTCCTAATGCCTAAAATTTGAAGTTCAATAAAATATCTTATCTGGTGATTATGAAATACCCTGCCCAATTCTGTTTTTTATACAGTGAGACTAATTCTCATATAAGCATCCAACTCCAAGTGTTTGCAAATTTATCCATGTGATTCCTTTCTTCTTCTGAATCAAAATTGTCTAATTTAGTCTGCATCGTATCTCTTTTGACACTTTTCCCCTGATAATGTGTGGCTCTATAGAATCAGATTACACGAAACCCATCATTTCAGTAAGTTTCTCAACTGAACTTTGAAGAGAAAAAATTGGCCTTGAAATTGTTTACACCTGTTCTGGCCTCGCCTATTGGAATTCTGCAATATGGTATTCTGTGCAACATGTGTCCAATCTTTTCATCAATTGTTAACATTAAATGGAATTGAGCCATTCACGGGTCGGTTCGAGTCAGGTTTCCCGTTAGCCCACCAACCGGGTTGTGAATCATCTCACCAGTTGTCAACCACCCCTCTGTTCGAAATCGACTGAGACAGCCCCTTGGTTTGGCAATTGGTGTCAGTCAGAGTAGTTGGGAAGATGAAAGGGTTAGCAGGAAAGTAAAAATACATATATATAGATATAGATATAGATCTGAAGAAAATATGTGAGAGAGATACACATTTACATACAGATTTGATAGATCTGAGAGCAAGAATGGAGACTTCAGTCGTTGCTGTGTTGTTGACAAGGGCTATAGGCAGATTGGCAATGGTAGTTGATGAAATCATAGTCCCATAGAGTACCGTAGCCGTTCCTCAGTGCCGGATCTGCCGTCAACGAGGACACTATTGACTGATTGAGAGAGGAAGATTATGGATGAGATGACATATTGCTTAAGAGAGAGAAGAAATATGAGAGGACTGAGTTACGGATTACGTAAGAGAGAGAATTAGCTTGAGGTGATCAGCTAAGGATATAATCTCAAAAATAAGTAAAGAGATAAGTATGTAATCTCAATAGCTTATTACATTTGAACACGTATCTATGGGTTGTTTTGAAAAGTTGGTTAAAAGCTTGCTTTTTGGCTTTTTTTGAAAAAACATGTAAAAAAGTAGAGAGATGATATGGATCCAAAATAGGGTAAAAGCTAGATGATGGCTTTTAACATCTTCCCAAAAAAGGATAAAGTTTTTTTTTTTTTTTTTTTTTTTTTTTTTTTTAATTATTTGATTTAGGCTAAACAAATACTTTAACAATTAAATTGCACACCGACCAAGACACATAATTTTTATGCTTTTATGAACTGTAACCAACCGTTGCAATGATCAAAATTGTTTGTTTTATTGGCAGGTCGGTTGGATTAAACTGGTTTGTTTTGTAATTCAGTTTGTTGAACAACCCTATTATTAAGGAACATTAAATACTCCTACAATTTTATTCCATTGGCATAAGAATGATTATTCAGTTGACCCATCTAACCAAAATGCGTCGTCTGTCGTACTCCTTGAAGCAATTTTTGGTTCTAAGTACTCTTGACGTCTTCCTTTTCTCTTCTAAAGCATCGCTTACCAATCCAAACCTTATGTCCAATAAAGTCAGGTTGGCCACAGGAATCATTTTTCTTCATTTTGCTCTATCAAGGGCCATATGTTTAGTTAAATTAAGTTCATATCTTTCTTCATTCCGGTATCTCATGTCAATCTAGGTCTTTCCCTTCCCCGTGGGGCTTTCATTAAGCATGATCTTATCGCACTTCCTCACTGTTGCCTTTATTAGACTTTGTTGTACATGATCAGACCATTTTAGTGGACACATAACTCCTTCGTGGTTTGAAATGCAAGATGGATGGAAACCATTATAATTGACTAGGCATGTAGGACACATAACTCGCTTATGTTTTTGGGCCAAACCCCATGTCTAAAATATAATTTCTCAAAAAAGTAATATTAAAAAGGTGTTAACATTTTGGTTTTGGTTGATTTTAAGAGGCACCTTATTAGAGACTTGTTTAATCTATTGTTAGCTTTGGTAGTCTTGTTTTGTGCTTGCTATGTTGTTGGTCGGTTGATGTAGGGCAAGAAATCCAACTTAATCTCATGCGTTGGATATTTTTATTACTTTATTTGTAATTTTTAAAATTATTTTAGGCTTTTATTTTCTTAATTTTAGGAAAATTTAGGACTTCCTTTGTTAAACTAGAGTCTTTTTATGGCAGGGCATCAACTAGGATCCATTTGGTTAAGAATATGATTTTCTTATTTTCATTAGGAATTATAGTTGTCCTAGGTTTAAGGCTATTTCCTTTATAATTATGGTAATGTAGTCTCATGGTAAGTGAACTTTTGATGAATAAAAATTTAGGGAGCTACTATTAGACCCCGCACTATTTATTAGGACCCCAACACCTCAAAATTGCTTCCCCCACTACTGTACCTAACTTCAGCAGCCCCCGCCCCCATCTCCGCCGACCTACCCAGTGCTCTTCCCCCTCTGGCGACCCTCTCCCAGCCCTTCTCACCCTTCAGTTACCCTCGCCTTTTCTTCTTCTTCCTCTACCATTGTTTCTACCGCTGCCATTGCTGCAACCCCTCTTCCTCTTGTTTTGCACTGCCATTTGTGAAACCTAGATCTATGGTTTTCGTGATCTAAAAACTCTAGATCTAGGGTTTATAGATTGCATGTGAAGAAGAAGAAAGAAAGGAGAGGAAGAGGAAGGAGGGAGGGGGTGGGTTTGTGGCAGCAGACAGTGGGGTAAGGGAGCGACGACAATGGCGGGGTTGGGCTAGAGAGGGATGATGAAGGTGCTGGTCATGGTGGTGGCACCAGCGGGTGGAGGGAGGGACTGTAAAAGGGTTGGGGGTGGCGGTTGGCATTGGAGAGGAGCAGGGGGTGGTGAGGGTTGTCGGAGAGGGGTGGATGGAGGTGGTCAGAGCTGGTAGGGGAGGTGGCTAGAACTAGGGTTACGGTTAGGGTTGAGATGTTAGGGATGGGGTAAAATGGAAAATTCATGTTAGGGTAAAAATGGTAATTGTAGAAATTTAATGTATAAAGAGAAAAAGAGAATTGTATTATTGATTGATGTTTGTAATTGTTGTGTAAATTACAGATGGTGAGGTACTCATTATATAGGAGAGGATTGGGGAGTAGGTGAGTGTGTGTGGTAGGTGAGTTGAGTGGAGGTGGTAGGTGATGATATATTTTAACAGCCCCCCGCAAACTCAAGGAGGATAGAAACTAACCAACTTGAGTTTGGAGAGAGGAACAAAACAAGAAAATACATAAAAATAAAAAAAGAAAAGGGTAGGAGACACTGTATGGTCGTGTCAGACCGTTGGTGAAGACACTGAAAGGTGGTGCCATAACGTTGTAGAGGACACTGGATGGTGGTGTCATAACGTTGTAGAGGACACTGGATGGTGGTGTCATAACGGTGTAGAGGACACTGTATGGTGGTGTCATAACGTAGTAGAGGACACTGTATGCTAACCGGAATCAAATGTCGGGACAGTTTATGGGGTCATGTCGGACCGGTGTAGAAGACAGTTTATGGGGTCATGTCGGACCGTTGTAGAAGCTGACCGGAATCAAATGTCGGGACAGTTTATGGGGTCATGTCGGACCGTTGTAGAAGGCTAACTGGAATCAATGTCGGGACAGTTTATAGGGTCATGTCGGACCGTTGAAAAAGTTGCACCCTTAAAAGGTGTGCCCAATGTTGTCAAAAGGCGTGCCATCAAAAAGCGTGCCCAATTCATCAAAAGGTGTGCCGGACATGATGGCGAGGCACGTGGGCGCCTTGGCTTGCGGGTGCATTGCAGTATCCCATGACACAAACATGCCGAACTACCCATGATCTGTCATTGGTTGCTGCAAACATGTACTTGAATCAAAACTGTTTCCATTAGATCTGATGATCATTAGTCCGAGATTGGTGCTGGTGCGAGATCTACGAACACAGCGCGAGGGACGTGCTTTCCGACGCTGGTTTCACTGAAGAAGGTGTTGAAGGAACATGTGTCCAAGCTTCAGACGAAGGATGCAGAGTGTGATGTGATTCAAAAGCGTTTAAATGATCTGGAACAGAATACTGTATCATCCTTGAGAAAAGCTCTCAAAGATGTTGCGATGGAAAAAGATGCTGCAGTTGTTGCACGGTAGTGTAGGAGGATCTCTCAGCCCAACTTCGCACGATTAAAAAACGAGTAAAAGAAGCAGAAGAAGAACAATACCGTGCAGAGGAAGATGCAGCAGCATTGAGAGCAGAATTAAATTCATTACAGCAACAAGCAATGAGTGGTCTACCTGGGGGCAGAGGGAGATTCTTGTTGGATGAAGAAGAAGAAGAAGAAGAAGGAGGAAAGAGGGGAGTGAGAGCATGTGTAGAGGTCCGGCGGGCGGCCAAGGCGAGGCTGCCGCCCGCCGGTGAAGCAGAATATAGGCCTAAATCTTATTGCTCTGATACCATGTTAAAATTGATGTATTATTGATTGATATATTGATGTGTAAATTACAGATGGTGAGGTACTCATTATATAGGAGAGGATTGGGGAGTAGGTGAGTGTGTGTGGTAGGTGAGTTGAGTGGAGGTGGTAGGTGATGATATATTTTAACAGTAATAAAAAAAGAGGTGGGGGGTCTCAAGAAATAATGTGGAGGCATGGCAGCTCCCAAAATTTATGAGTTTTCATAGTGAATTCTAGTTCAATTTTTGTTGGGCACTCAAAACCGTTCGTCCCTAGAACAATATCTAGCCCTTACATGCTTTTCGTTTTGCGACACTTGGTATAAGAAAGGATTCGCTTGGCTTGATGACCAATAAGTGAAGAGGCAAACTTCTCAGTGAATGATTGTGGGAAGGAGACTGTTACTTGTAAGGAGTTTCAAATTCACTAGAATCATGACAGGAATGGGTGTAGCATTGGAGATTTTGCTCACAATCAATCTGTTCATAGACACTTTTTTCTAACAGAGATTTTTTAGGTATTATCAGAAAATTTATGTAAATGTAGTGGTCGTGTTAATTTTAAAAATATTTTGAACTGGATACTAGATAAAATTTTTTTTTCCTCTCTCCCCCTGAATATAGAGTATGTACTATTAAAGCTTATGGGTCTAGAACTATGATGGTGGTTATATTTGTAATCTCTAAAAGATCAATCAGGCTGTGTAGTTGTTCATGGTCAATAATGAAAAGGTGTATGATGGAGAAAATTTCCTTGTAATTATGTGCAATTATTAGAGGAGAAATACAATAAAAACACTAATGTGATTACTCAATTTGAAGATGACATTGAAGAGCTTATGTTTGATGACAAATCTGTATTACTCCACTCTCAAGAAATCAACAGAGCTAAACAACTACTTGTTTGCGATGAATTGAAGTTACGGAAGAAAAATTACATATCATGATAATTACCACAAGGCAATATATTTTTGAATCAGATGTCAGTGTATTGTCCTTACACATGTATGCACTACTGCAGACATTGATGAGTTGGATATTGAAGAAAAAGTCTTAAAGTCTATACCATGAACAAGTTTAACACAAGCAAGAAATTATTGCATATGTTGTGAATCTTGTTATGGATGTTAGAGGAGAAGAAAATGATCAAATTTCAAGATGAGATCAAATTATATAGTTAGGTTGATTCACCCAAATTTGATTTTATTGGTGTTGAAAATTTTAATGTGATTTCTAATCCTTTGGTGGATCTCATCAATGATGTAGCCTAATGCAAAAGGAATTTAAGATCATGCAATTTATGGAGAGCAAATTCGGAAAGAAATCAAAACAACTGAAAATTTTGAAGTACTTGATTCGCTGCCAAGGAAGATTTCAATACATAAAACTGAAATTTAGGATGAGTTATTTTGAAAGTAGTACTTGATTCGCTGCCAAGGAAGATTTCAATACATAAAACTGAAATTTAGTATGAGTTATTTCGAAAGAGGGCAGACTGGTGAAGGGAAAGAAACCTTGTTTTATCACATTTGTTGGAAGATTTGTATTACTATTTTTTGTATGTTGTTTTAGTAATTTAGCCTTTTATTGCCAATTTTTTTGGATACTCTAATGGCTTCCCTAGTTAGGAACCAATTGGGCAATATTATAATTTTCCCTGTGTTCCTTAGGAATTCTAGTCCTATAGGTTTAGGATTATTTCTTTATAAATATGGTGATGTAGCCTTATGGAAAGAGAGCTTTTGGTGAATAAAATTTGTTGGTACACAATGCCACTCCCTATGATTGATCTAAAAATAGGCGCGGGGCACAATGTGCAATGCCATAAAATACATAAGTGAAGCCCTCTCTAACACGAATTGGTTTTAGGAGAGATGGTGGAACTTGGTCCGACAATTTTTCGAGTATAGAATTTCCTTTTTGTCTTTCCTTACTGCTTTGTCAGTATATATATGCTTTTCACAATTTTTAGGAGTGGCTTTTTTTTAATGTTTGGATTTCTTGGACATTGGCTTTAAAGCTTTGCTTTGGGGTCGTAATTCGGGTGAACTTATGTTAATATGTTTTCATACATGGTTTTTAGTTGATTGTAGATGGATTTTGTAAGGAATAGCTTCCAAGTAGCGGTTCAAGTCTTAATGGTTAGGAGTGCTTAATTTATGTGAAGTCATGTAATGCTTTTATCCAGTGGAAAGCATATGAAGTTCTATGGTTTGTGTGCTGTAAATCTAACCTTGGTGTGACACTTACGGGGATTGGGTTGTGAAGTCCAGAAAAAATAAATATATATATTTCTTCTTTCTTTTGTAATTTTAGCCTTTAATGCCCCAGAGCTAGACCTAATTCACTTTCATCCCTACCAGAAAATTCTACTCTGTAAGCCCTAGCTCTTCTCTGTTAAACAATTCAATTCTACAACACAAAACGAACAAAACAATCCACTGTCACTGTTCGCTGTCCCTGAACAAGGCTATTCAACTTCTTCTACCCCGTCCGATTTATAGCTCCAATCCCTGCCCTTCTGATGCCTCATAGAGACCCGTAACAGCCCTTTGTCTTTACGAACTTTTAAGCCCAAAACTGTTTATAATCAGCCTAAATAAAACCCTATCTCTGCTGCCCTAGATTTATTTTGGGTTGACTACTTTTGGAGAGTGCTCTTTGCAATCAGCCAACCAACATCATGCAGTTGTTAAAAGGAATCAAGTCTCTACTTTCCTTTTTTACCATATCTTAGCCTGTATCCATATAGCTCACCATCTTTCGTATTTATTTAATATTACATTATCTTTCGTGTTTGCTGCCTTCTCATTTCTTATGTCACTTCACCCCAGTAATGACTTTGAAAACTCTCATCATGTGTATTGTTTAGCAAGGCAGCCTCGTTCTGTAAATTCCTACCTTGAAACAATTGTTAAATGACCATGTTTCTGTAAATGATGAATAATGTAGTATAAAATCTTAAAGAACCTGTTCTTTTGCAATCATATAACGATTAATAATTTTATACAAATTTATTTAAGTTTCCAAATCAGAACCACCCTTCTAAAGTTTTAATGTTTTTGTTCCCTAAAGTATTATGATTCTGCTCTGGCATCAATTGTGTCCTTTTTTTTTTACTATTTCTTCGTATGAACATCTAAACCACTCATCCATGCTGTTCGATCGGCCTTGGGCAAAAGTAATACAGGATCATTGTGTTCAGGTAATGCAATGCAGAATCAGAATCATCATATAACTAAACTATTGTACAATTGAAAATATGTTTTATTTATGGAGTGTTTAATACTTTGGATTTTTTAGTAGTTTAATTCAGATTATATAGGATGAAATTTTTTGTTCAGGTTCTGTATTTTGTTTAAATGTAGCTTTAATCATTAATGTATGATAATTTAGCCATATATGCAGTTGCTGCTATGAAGTTAAGAGTGTTCAATTATACAAAGCTAGACCGATAAGCTATAGTTTAATTGCTAAGAAGATTTAAACTCTGTTGTTCGAATCGTACGATTCGGTTCGATGGACATACAAATTGATATGAACTGGTAGAGAGAATCGGAAATGGCCATGAATTGCACCTGTATTGCTGAATCGATTGCCGAATCGCAAGAATCATAGAATCGCATGATTCTGGAAATCGTGGGTCAACCCACTTCTACCAGTCGGACCAGAGTGAATTTTTTGGATTTCTGAGGCATTTTTTTTGCTTTATTTTGCTGGAGAATGGATCAAGTAGGTCTTCTAAGACCTTTCAAGTTATTATATGACAATCCCATTGTCTTTTTGTGTCTATTAACTCTCAAATGACAAAACCCTAGAAAAAAGAATGTTTTTTTTTCTCTCTCGGGTTATGGAGCAGTTGCTTTTTCTGTTGGATCCCTTTTCACCCTCAACTTTAAGGAAATCTTGAAGCTTCAACAACTTTTTTGAAGTGTGGTGCTTTGACTTTGAGCTGCGGTGGGTCCACAAACTCCAAACGGTACTGTTTGTTGTACAAGTACCAAACTGAATAGCTTAAACTTTGGCCACTTTGAGACTTTTTTTTACTTTACGCCTTGTTTGGGAAGTAATAGTTTTAGCCTAAAAGTCAGAAAGTTATTAAAAAAATCAAAAAGCCTATAACCTATACCAAAAAGTAAAGATTTCTTTTTCTTTCTACTTTTTGCACATCTTTTCATAAAAAATTAAAAGGTCATTCCAAACATACAAGTTTTTTTTACCTCATATTTTAGTTAAAAAATCAAAAAGTTACTAAAATAGCCTGTTTCCAAACGAGGCCTTAGTATCTTTGTTATTGTTGTCACTAAATACAAAAAAAATATAAAAATTTAAGATATTTTGGTTTGGTTTTGTTTTGTTTTGTTTTGTTTTGTTTTTTTTTTTTTGTGTGTGTTTATTGATTTTTTTTTAAGATCCTTCACAAATATTGTACTTTTTAAATACATCTAAATTAGGTGCATCTAATTTTTTTTAAATGACTCAAATATATATAAAAAAAATCACTAAAAACAAAAAAAACTCAAAACCAAACAGCATTTTCGTGGATTTTAGTCTAAATATTTAATATTTGTAAGACATGTAGTATCTAAGTGTGTAGATATATTTTTTTAATCTTATTTAGAAAAACTGACCGAATCTTTACGATTCACGATTCGATTGATTTGCTATTCGGTACAAGGCCATTTCGAATCCCGATTTGACAACCTTGTTTGAAATCATTTAAATATTGGTTGAAGACCAGAAAAGGAGTAGCAGCAGCAAACAAGGACTTCTAGCTTGGTAGGAATGAAGTTCACCACCACAAGTCAATGAGGACTCTCTCTCTCTCTCTCTCTCTCTCTCATGGAAAAATGAGGACAACTTTCTCTTTCGAATTTGGAGGAGTGTTTTATACTTGCCCCAAAAAAAGTCTATAATGGGGAAATCAAGTGTCTTATGCTTACCAAAATAAAAAAAAAAAAAAAAGTCTATAATGTGGGAATCAGCAATATGTTGATTATACTTCATAAAAGTGATGGAGCTTTTTTTCTATGTATTGTTTTACATTTTATTTTTTGTAACTGAAGCACTACGATTTTTCTGATAATCTTGTCCCTAAATCCTGAGTAGCTACCCATTTAATTTTTTTTGCAGAAGTTGTGGCTTGCCGGATTCTCCAAGGGTATACAAGAGATGCACAGAAAGGCTTCTTTGGTTCTTGAGGATGCTGTGAGAAATATTTACACTGTTGTAGCATTCTGCGCTGGTAACAAGGTTATGGAGCTCTACAGATTGCAACTACAAAAAATATTCAAGCAGAGCTTCCTTCTTGGGATGGCTATTGGTTTTGGATTTGGCTTTTCACAGTTTCTTCTTTTTGCTTGCAATGCTGCTCTTCTCTGGTACACTGCATTCTCTGTTAAAAATAACTACATGAATCTAGCTACTGCTCTGAAGGAGTACATGGTGTTCTCTTTTGCAATGTTTGCGCTTGTGGAGCCTTTTGGCTTGGCTCCTTACATACTCAAACGGCGCAAATCGCTTATTTCAGTATTTGAGATCATAGATCGAGTGCCTAAGATTGACCCAGATGATAACTTGGCATTGAAACCTCCCAATGTTTATGGTAGCATTGAGTTAAAAAATGTCGATTTTTCTTACCCAACCCGCCCGGAAGTGTTGGTATTGAGCAATTTTAGTCTCAAAGTCAATGGGGGACAAACTATAGCCGTGGTGGGAGTTTCAGGGTCTGGAAAGAGCACTATAATATCTTTGATAGAGAGATTTTATGACCCTGTTGCTGGTCAGGTTTTACTAGATGGTCGAGAATTGAAACTTTTCAACTTGAGATGGTTGAGGAGCCACATGGGTCTTGTTCAGCACGAACCAAGTTATCTTCTCAACGACAATAAGAGAAAACATAATCTATGCAAGGCACAGTGCAAGCGAAGCAGAAATTAAAGAGGCAGCAAGAATAGCAAATGCTCATCATTTCATCAGCAGCTTGCCACATGGGTATGACACACATGTGGGGATGAGGGGTGTGGACCTAACACCGGGACAGAAACAAAGAATTGCAATTGCTCGGGTTGTGCTGAAGAATGCACCTATTTTGTTATTGGATGAAGCAAGCTCTTCCATTGAGTCTGAGTCTAGCCGAGTGGTGCAAGAGGCTCTGGATACACTGATAATGGGGAACAAAACAACCATTCTAATAGCCCATAGAGCAGCTATGATGAGACATGTAGACAACATTGTAGTACTTAATGAAGGGCGAATAGTAGAGGAAGGCGCTCACGATTCATTAATGGCAAAGAATGGTTTGTACGTCCGTTTGATGCAACCTCACTTTGGGAAGGGCTTGCGTCAACATAGACTTGTTTAGGCGGGGTTTGGGCTTGGTTGTAATTTGTGCTTGGCCCATGGGAAATCTGCCCATTTTTCAAGTTGCCCAGGACATTGATTACTGCTCGTTCTGGAAAAATTAGGCAGTGAAAGTTTTCCAAATGGTAAGAATGATGAGGTGTTACACATTTTGATATAGGTGGTTTGGTGGCACTGGCAGTGCTGTTGAGAATGGCTGTTGTGGCTGTGGTGGTTATATAGTGAAATTTGGAGGATGAGAATGGTCTTCAAAATTCAGTTAGCCTGTGAGGACAGGCTCTCAGGCTTAGATCCATATTCTTTTGGAGGCAAGCATATCATTAGATTAGGGTTGTGCTTCGTCTCCATGGTATATTGATTCACTAATTATAGAAGAGTGCAGTCAGTTGTACCGTCTCTTTGAAGTGGTTGTTACGTCTTTTTCCAGCTTGCTTTCTGTTTGTATGGTGGATGAGCTCTCTCTCTCTCTCTCTCTCGGGTTATTCTCGCCCATTTTCCTGTACATCTTTTTTCATTTGTGAAAATTCCATGAGCTTTATAGGAGGATAAAGTGAAGATATTTGTTGAGACCTTTTGTATATAAAATCGTTGAGAAAATTTATCAACTTACATATTTTTTTATTTCATAATCATTTCCGACGTCACAGCCCTTGTCCATTATCGTTGTGGGGAGCTTGTATACACATTTTTGGAAGAGGCTGGGTCTCTTAAGGCATCGATGCAGGTAATGAGCATTTTGGTGATGAGCAATATTGAATGACTTGCTTGTTCGTACTCCTCCCGCTGGGAACTCCTTCCTAAATTGTGAACTTGTTGCCCACAAACACTTCTGTTTTGGGGCTTGTTATAGTCAATGGTTGCTGGTTGGAATCGATTTCGCAAATCTGGGCTGGTTCGGACCTCCATCTATTCAAAATGTGCTCTCGTAGAGTAGGTATCTGGGCAGGTTTGGATCTTCAACCGTTCATTGCATACTTTAAATGTCAAAGATATGGTGAGATGCTCTAATGATACAAAGTTGTTTGATTCTTGAATCTGTGAAACTAGTCATTTACGTATAGCAAAGATGATTGACATGATTAGGGTCCAAACCATAAATCTGATGGCTAGTAGGAGAGAAACTTTGAAGAACTGGAATGGCTTTTTATTTGTCTGGAGATGGATTGAAGATTGAAAGTGGCACCGAAGGTTGGCAGGGTATGTGTAGGAATGGCAATGGGGCAGGGCACCATGGAACTATATAAAAAGCTAAGCCACTCCAACAAAAACGTATGATTTATTCAATTAAATCTGGTTTGAAAATGGCTTAGAAGGTAAATAAATTAAATTTAATTACATTTTTCTTAAATTTGTTATATATTTGAACCAAAATTAAACAATCTACAGCTTAGCTTATTTAAATACTACCTGGACTTATCATGAAGTAAGTCATCACGAAGCCATAAACGGTTTCCTTAATTTTGAAAGGAAAATGTTTGGTGGTCACAAATTTTGTGGCTCAAATGGACCGAAAATATCAAAACGATGTCGTTTTGACATTTTCAAAGTTGTTTTGTATCCAAAACGACGTCGTTTTGACATTTTCGGGCCATTTGAGTCACAGAATTTGTGGCCACCAATCATTGCCGATTTTGAAAATATATATATATATATATATATAATAAATTTTCTTAGTTTAATTGAGCCTTTGATTGAGGCCCATGTCATCTGTTAAACAAGGTTAGTGTGTTAATCATATCATCAACAAACAAGGTTAAACAAGGTTAGTGTGTTAAGCAAACTACTTATAAATGTATCAACAACTAGAAGCTGTTACAAGTAGCTCCAGTTAGAGTCATGATACTTGATATGGTTGAACAAGTTAGGTTAATATTAAGAGAATTTTGATATATACTCGCCAATATATGGCACGAAACAACTCAAACCCCTAAAATATTTTTAAAAAAATGATATTTATTACTAATCTTAAAATTTATTTGGGTAAATTATAAATACATCTTTTGAGGTTTGTTTAAATACGGATTGCTCTTTATGGTTCTGGAAATTATAAATACTCAATTGTCAGAATTTTTTATTTAATAGAATTAACAGAAAAAAAAAATTCCTAACTACTTTCCAAGAACAATAAAATTACCGAAATTGTTAATCAAAATATAATTTTGACATTATTAAAAACTGTTAATTGACTTAATAATTTATTAATAAAAGAGATCATTTGTTATGTAATTAAAAACATGAAGGGGTAAAATGTAATTTTTAGAATTATATGAGACAATTCATATTTTAAACAAAGGGAGTGTATTGTAATTTACCCAATTGACTTTTGATTACTCGCTAGGTTTTTTTTTATATATATAATTTATTTGAAAAATTTTATAATACACACCATATGTCCTATGACAATTATAATATTTAATTATAATCTATCATGATTGTGGAGGATAAGAATTCGGACCAAGGAAACTCAGACCCAAACAGGCCTAGAAAAGGGGAACAATCCGTTGTACGAGACTAGAATTTGTTTGGCAAAGGAAACCAAAAGAAACTGATTAGACCGATCGGCCTAGACTAACACAATCTGGCTGATCTATACAAAATGACCTTTGACAAGGACTCATTTGTCTCATGAAAATAAGGGTACCAAACAACCCACAATGATGACAAGTACCATTTGCCTATAAAAGGATCCAACAACACCACTGGTATAAAGAAAACAAAAAATACGCATACGCGGCCAAAAACTAAATATCCAATATAGTTATGTGTAATCTGGGGGGCTAACATGATCGTCGATGGATCTCCCAATCTACATAGGTCGAGGAGGCCTCTGACTTGGGATTTTCTCTTACAGGGAAGATGAGGGTAAGGCGTATCATCTAGCCAAATTCTTGTGGAGACAAATTTACCGTCTACAGTAATGTTAGAGCATTCACAGTGGAGTTGTTAGAACATTTATTAGTGTCAGCTGTTATTTTTTAGCTAGTCATTTTTTGTTCTTGCTCTCACAGTGGAGCTGCTAGTATGTGTGTTAAAGCTGCCAGTTGTTAATTTGTGTTAAGTTGTTTGTTATCTGTAGCGATGGTTTTAGCTAGCGAAGGAGGGCGTGTTTTTGGTCTTACCGGTTGACCGGCCGGACGTCTGGCCGGTTGATTGGTCAACGGCAAATTTTTTTTTTTTTACTTGTTGGGATTTTTTTTTGGACTTGAAATTTAATTTTGAGTTTTAAATTTTTGATTAAACTAAATTATTTATTTGTTTTATTTATTATATACAAACATATATATATATATATATATATTTAACAACACTTTAATACACCCCTTAACACATCCATTGCACCACCACTCACTCTCTAAAATTAAAAAATTCTTAACACATCTTAACAAACATTTTTGGGCCCCACTTCTATTACTTTTTGTCATATAACACACCTTAATATACTTTTTTAGCCATCCCATTGTGGATGCCCTTAGCTATGACTTGCTTATCACTTATTGTAGTATTACTTATGACTTATTGTGATTTTAGTTATGACCATTATTTTAGTTATGATCTAAAAATTCTTTTGTTATACCTTATGTGATTTTGATTATGACTTTTTTAATTTTTAAGTTATGTTTGAAAAATGATTTAGATATGACATTTGTTATAATTAATGTCATAAATGTTATAACTAGCACATGATATATATTCCAAATGGGGTGTACATAGTAGCATTACCCTATATATCAATGCACGACCATATCATTGTTTTTATCCATGTAACTAATGAATCATTGAAAAAAATGAGTTTAATGTTATGTGAATTAAAATATTAAACGATTTCAATATAATTATGTTAAAATTTTAAAACTTATTATATTTCATCTTTTACAAGAGAGTATTGACCTCATTTAAAATTCTAAATTTTCTATTTTGTATTCATAAAAAAGAATATATTATTCACACATTAAATATATATATATCATTTATCTACACTATATTTTTGTAGGTATATCTCTTTTATCTATCTATCTATACTATCTATCTATTATTAAAAGTGAACAATTCACTTGGTCTCCTTTTGGCAAGTGGTCTTATCTCCTTGCGTCAAATATTAATTTCTCCATCCAAGGAAAAAAAAAAAAAATAGTTACAAGAGTGGCACATAAGTTAAACCTATGACCATTGTTGACTAAATAATACCTTCACCACTTAAATAACATAGAAGATATGTTTTCAGCTCAAAATTAAAATTTATATTTTAAGCACACCCATCGAGTGAGCTCACTCCCTAAACCATTGATTTGATAAATAACACTATTACCAATTGAGTAATAAATACTATCGGATGTTAATTCAAAACTAAAATTTATATTTTACAAATTTAATTGCACACTTATCGGATGCAACACACCTACTAATATATATATACTAGCAAGCTGTACACGTAATACGTGTGCAATTCAAAATAACGTAATAATATAACAATAATGGTAAATAAATATGTATATATATATATATATATATTATGTGTTACTCAAATGGTAATGACTTATTTTACTAGACTAATAATCTTAATTTCAAACCTTGTCTCTTTCTTTTTTTATATAAATATTAATAACAAAAATATTGTAAAAAAATTCAAAATATGAGACATAAATGTATCAACACCACCGACCTTCATTTTATATGTTAGAATAGGTAAGAACAAATTCAAGAATGTTTAATTGTAGTAGGCCTACAGCAACAAATCTAATGGGACAAATTTTCAATCATGTCAAAGGATTCAAAAAGTAGGAAACTTTTCGAAGTATCCAATGAGTTTGGTCGGTATAACAAAATAGAGAAAAGAGAATGATGAACTCCTTTGTCTATGTCAATGTGTACTCTGTAACAAATTAGGAATTTTTTTGGGTAAGTAATATTATAAAAAAAAAAATTGAAAGATATAAAGTTTAATAGATATTTTTATAAGGAACAGAAACATAAACAAAAAACAAACTACTCTCACTAAAAAAAAAACAAAACAAAGCCTACAAAAGCAACTTTCACAATAAAAAGGATTCAAAATTTCTCTCTATTACTTTTTAGGTTATGAAGTTTTTTTGTGAATTTTTTTTTTCTTCTATTTTCTTCCTTAGTAGTCTCCACATTACTGGGCTCAGGACTCCCTCTATTGTTTAGAATATTCAATTGGCACAACAATTCTTAACTTGGTTCGCCATTCTTTAACTCTTCAAATTCACAAAATTTAAGAACTTCAAAGGCATTAGATATAGAAGGGGCAGAAGACCGCATCCCTCTTTCTTTGTTTATCTCTGTTATTGAAACTTGCACGTCATCTCACATCTTTGAGGCACAAACTAGGATAGTATAAACCCAACAATATATATATATATATATGTATATATATTAGTGGTGGTATACATGTGCGTTGTACATGGTATTTATAATTATATTTTAAAATGAAAAACTTTATAATAATATAAAAGAAATAGATATTAGAAAAATAGTATTTCATAGTGAATTTATAAACTATGTGGATTTATCAACTATACACAAAAACAATATTTCATAGTGGATGAGAAAAATGAGAGGCTCGGTATTAGAAAGTTGTAGAACCACTGATATAAAATAAATTGATGATGTA